AGCCATCGGGGGGCGTGGGGGAGTGGGGGTGTGAGGCTAGATTGGCAGCCATTGGGGGGGCTGCAGGAGCTGGCCGGGGATGGGGCCAAGCAGGACAGCAATCCAGGGGGCTGGAGGAGCGGGTGAGGATTGGGCAGGCATGTGGGCCCTGCAAGGGAGGTAGCCCCTGTTGGGAGGCTGTAACCCCTGTGTAGGGCCATAGCTCCTGTGGGAGGCTGCAGCACCGTGGGTTGGGGGCATAGCCCCTGTGGTGGGGCCCTGGCCCCTGTTGGGGGGTTGTAGCCCCTGTTGGGGGGCTGTAGCACCTGTGAGGGGGAGCTGTAGCCCCTGAGGGGGGCTGTAACCCCTGAAGAGGGCAGGCTGTAGTCCTTGTGGGAGGTAGCAAAATATATATTCACATATTCATGAATTCATGAAACATGCATTTAGAGTTCACTTTTTAATTATTATGATAGAGACACTGGTAGTCTTCCAAATTGCTTTAACATTATAGATATGTCAATAAAACATTGCCCAACTGATCGCTGTCTCCCTGTCACACTCTCTCTCTCTTTATAGTGGTCTTTTATTTTACTTGAGGAGGAACATGGATTTTGGGGTATTTTACAGAGTGACTTTGGGATTTTTTTATCAGGGATTTTTCATTTTCCAATACGGAACACCAGAATTCCTGCTAGGGGGCCAGTGGCAGGACCCTGCCTGCTCAAAGCTGGCACTTTGGACCTATCTGGCTGTGGCTGACCTCCTGGCCAACTGGGGCCAGGAGGACATGCTTTCACAGTTCAAAGCAGGTCATCACACCCAGAACATCTTCCGGGCGATAGCTGCCCAGATGGCTGGGCAGGGGGTACACATGGCAGTAGTGCCGCACAGAGGCCAACTCTGTAGCCACAGCCCACCAGCAGGCAAATGCCTCATCCAGGTCTGGCAGGTGTTCAGCAGGTTACAGACAGGCAACAGCCCCCACTGCCAGTCTGCTGCAGTGGGTAAAGGGTTCAGGGAACAATCAGGGCTGCTTCAGCAGTCCGGCTGGCACAAGGGGTAGTGTCCCCAGGTACCAATTGGCTGGGCCCCAGAAGCTCCTGAGAGTGAGTAGCCCTGAGCTACTTGCCAGGGAAGTTTTTTTTACTAACGGGGCCAGGATGGGGAAGCTTTTTATACTGCTGGGGACTGTACAGGTGCTGGCCCTGGGCTCTAGCTTCCCCTGGCTGCAGATCCAGGAGGAGCCAGGCAGGGTTATTTTGCCCCAAGTGGCACAATTTGCTCCACAACAAAGTGCATGTCTGAGTATGTGCACTGAGGCAAAAAGCCCCAGCTCAAATTTGCACTGCTTTTATTTGAGCTGTCTGTGTGGACACGCCCAAGGAGTTTTCACCTACCTTTGCTAGTTAAGTCAGAAAATGTATTTTTCCTTGTCAAGGCAACCTGTCCTTGATAATTCTTTCTAAACCCTTGGAAAGCTTCACTTTTGTGAACAACAATTATAACATGGTAACATAGCAAGAATAATGTTTCTTTACATAGTCCCACAACAGTCTTTAAATGGCAGTTTTTGAAGTGTTAATTAAAGGGGATAGTAGGTCAAATATCCAAGATTCCAGCAAATTGCAAGTATCTATACTATAGATGGGTAGAATAAATTGCTCTAAGAGCTGTACTATTCACAAAAAGATTGTTGTTGTCTTTATAGTCAACAATAATGCTTCTGTAGTAACTGATACTCCAGGGAAGTGATCAGTACCTCATTGTCCAGTGGTGTTTAAGTTGCACACTCCCGGTATAAATCCTTTAACATCAAGACATGGCAGGACCCCCCCACAGGGGCTATGCCCCCGCCCCTCAGCTCTTTTCAGTATTTTCAAATTAGTGTGAACATTACATAGAAAGTGAGGAACTAGCAGATGGCCATGGTTCACATTCTCTTTGCCAAATTCCTGATGTAAAAGCAAGACTCACATAGATTTCTAATAGTTTTAAACCAGGCACTAATGAACTAGAATAGGACCTAACTATACTACTGGTAGTGAGGAATGCAAGGGCAAAAATGTTAGCCTTGTGTGAGTGTGAGAAGAGAAAATTAACTTATAATTCTACCTCTATCCACTTACAGCAACCAATTTTTTCTAAGAATGATGAACTGGTGAAACAGACAGGAAAAGATCTAAACCAGGGAATGGCAATTATTTTGGGAAGAGGGCTGCTTACCGATTTTTGGCAAGCTGTCAAGGGCCACATGGGTAGCCCTGCCCCTTGACAGGTGCCCCACCCCCTGGTCAGCATCTTGGGACCAGAAGTCCCATTCCTTAACCCCCAACCTTTGCCACCAGAAGTCCCACACCTTGCTCCTGAAAATACTTTCAGCAAGGGCTTTTGCCATCTCAGAACTAGAAAAATACCAAATTATATTCTAAAAATCAAACATCTACAACATTAATTAATTTGATTTCAAAAAATATTTTGTCCTGATGTACATGCATTTGTCTAGTGTACATAGAGGGGACTGCACAATAACTAAAAATGAAGTCTTACTCTTGTATACTATGGGGGGT